ATTCTGCTGCTCCATCTTTGAACCTCCTTACCTGCCCCATTCTACCCTTGCCATGCATTGGAGGGGCTTTGGGGGTGAGCTCTGGGTTTAGGGCCTTACTCCATCCTTCAACCACCCTGGATCTTTGCCCACCTCCACCTCAGATCCCCTGCTGCAGGGTCCATAGCCCTCATCCAGGGCTGTGTGGAGGGAGAGGACTGGCTCCCCACCCTTCCTCCCTACCCACCCCCTGCACATCACAGAAATCTTCCCCACACCCTTCTCTGCCTTTATTTTTTGATTCGTGCAACTTGTAACTAGGTGTTTATGGAATAAAGGAGAATGGAAAAAAGACTAAGTGGGATTCTTGTTTTACTTTTGATCTTTACCCTGTTCGGCTTCACCTCGCCTGCTGTCCCCCCGGCCCCTTCTTACATTCCCTCTGTCTCCATGTGTGGCCTTCCTAACTTGAGCTCAAGCCCAGTACCTCCGTGGTAACGACAGTGGGACTGCTGGAGCCCCAGCAGAAGAGAAACAGTGGCAGCACTCATCTGCACTAGGCTGGCGGGGGGTGGGGAAACACTAGCAGCTGCCTTGCTGGCTGTCTCCCCTGCTTTTGCTACAACCTCACACGTCTGGGGGAACGTAGGGCATATCTCAGAGGCACCTGAGGAATTTGTTGCCCCTTGCCCCCTGGGGTGAGTGTCTCCCCTGGACTATGGGTGGGAACACTTGTACTGAGCAGGAAGGCACAGGCCTTCAAGGGGAACGCACCCCAAGTTCAGCAATGTTCTTCCACCCTCAGTGGTTGAGAATTTGAGCCCAGGGAAGGAGACCAGAGAAGAAAACTAATCTGGAACCGGAGTGGTACTGGAAGGGCATGAGGTGCTCAAATTTCTCAAGGTGTTCACTCTTGCTTGACCTGGCTTAGCCAAATGGGGTCACTCTGTTCTTCCTGGGAACTTATTTAATGATGGCAGATGCTTATAAAGAGTGGTGATGGTTTCTTTATGAAAATCTTCAGTTCCTTGCAGTTTGTGGTAAATCGAAGTCAAAAAACAAAGTAACGGGTGCCTGGCTGGCCCAGTCAGTAGAGCACACAACCCTCAATCCTGGGGTTGTGAGGTCAGGCCCCATGTGGGACGTAGATCTTTCATTAAAAAATAACATACACAAAAATAGCTCCTCTCAAGGAAGGGGGGATCTTTCCCATGTCCTCTGTGAACAGATTCCAGAGATCTGTCTAGTTGCTGAATGAGTAGAGGGATGAAGTTGAGTTTAACAGCCAGGCACTGACTCTATTTTAGGGCAGGTGCCAAATCTCATTAAATAGGCCTGGTGAAGATGCATGACCAGGGTTAAGGGAACCCACCGAGTGGCTAAGAGAATCCAGGAATCTCAGAAGTCAAATAGGCATAGGTTTCCCTCTCTCCAAAAGCAGAGCATTCCTGCAAAATCTTTTATAAGCTGAAATGGCAGAAAGTGAACCAATTGCCATTAACTTACATGGAAAAGCTCTCAAGCGTTCCCAGACTCCAAATAGAACCTCTTGGATTTTCCTGAAACCATCTTGCTAAGGGATGCACAAACTAGAGCTCACAGACAGTTCCAAAGTTCGGTTTGATGGAGAGAAGCTGCATAGAGCTCAGGGGGAAGGAGCTTGGTGGTGCCACCCTTGCGGTGTGTGTCGCCTCTATAACCTGCAAAACAAATGCTGATAGCTATTTTCACCTGTCTCGTAAAAGCAAAAGATCTCTTTGTATCTCTCTGTGTTGGCCAAAACTGGTATTAACGTTGGTGTTTTGTAAATGTGAAGTGGCATAACATGAACTTTTGAAGAGTTGCGTGGGGTGCCTATATAGATAATTCATCTCCACCTGTGTTGTTGAACTGTAAATGATGGGACTTTGAGCACAGCTCCCCTCGGTTTCAAGTGTCCCCTGGGCTCTGTTCAAATAGACTCATATTTCCTTCCTCTGGGAGTGGAAGCAGTTTTCATCAATCTCCAGAGGAGCCCACAGGAGAGAGAGCACAAGATTTGTATAAAAGATGCCCAGAGGCTGAGTCCTTGGCTCTGTCATCAACTATAGCCAAGTGGTCTTGGGCAGGTCATTCACTTCCCTGGACCTCAGCTTTGAAGTGCTTTACCAGCTATAAAATCTAAGGCTACAGTTCACACTCAACCTGCCAACCTGGATTTCAATAATAGTGCCCACACTGGCGGGTAGGGTTCTGAGTGGGGGCTGGAGCAGGGTAAGGGTTGCCCTGATTTCAATCTAGGTGAGTCAACCTAGTGTTGCATAAGATCTCCCATGTAGGTCCTGGCTTTCAGACACATGAACTAATTCTCACCCCTACTCCCTGCTCTTGAGTGAGGACCACCCTTCAACCCAGCACTCCTTCCTAGGGCCTGTGACTAGTTGTGAGCAGTGAGATGTTGTGGGCAATTAGTTAGCCGCAGCCACCGAGTAAGGAGCTCAAGAACCAGCCCCTTGGCATGTACTGACCTGTCTGCCAGGTCAGTAGGGTGAGGGCCAGAGGATAGAGATAGAAAAGGAACTCTCAGGAAGAGAGCTGACATTTTATTTCTGGTCAGCTCTCCAACTGGGCTGGCCTCATTCACAATAGCCATCCCCTCAAGCCTTTGGCCTGACGTCCAGAGGACATGTCAGACTCATTATTTCCCCCATGGCTGATAGTTGGTGGGAGACTGAATTACCCAGAGGAGTGAAATGATGACTACAGCCTGCCATAAGCAAGACCTGCTCCACCGCTTAGCTACGATTGGGAAAGATTCTTAATCTTTCAACATCAGTCTCCCATTTTGTAAAATGGAACTTTCTAGGCGCTGATGGCAGTGGGGACATGGGTCCATACTTTGGAACGATGAGAAATCCATGAGCACAGAGAAAGCATGTGACACAGTACATGAGATATAAATGACTGATTTCTCCCTGATTATTGTCTTGCTCCTTCAGTGTTCTCTGGTGGTCCTCCTCTCTGGGTCCATCCTCGGGGGTCCTAGAATACTTCCAGACATAACTTGGAAATCATCATCCTGGCCTCCAGCCCTCTGTTCTCCCAGCTACCAGTTATTATCTTTCACACTTTTCATGCCTTGGCTTTAGAGACTTAACAAGTTGAAACAAATATTTTGTAAGAAACGTTTGGTTCAGAGTTTTGGGCCACTCTTGCAAGCCCTGCTTGCAGTTTGGGATGTTTTCCTTCCTATGATAACCAAGAGCCTTGGGTCCTACTAACACCCTTTACCTGATGCCCCCTTTCTCCACCATTCTGCAATCCAATACCCAGCTCACAAACTGGTTACCCAGAGAACCAGGAGTTGATCCATAATAAAAGCCCAGTATTCGAGTCTCCCAACCCACATATTCCCAGTCCACTTAAATACTCCACATATCTGCCCTGCCATGATGCTCCCAGTCCTGGGCACAGGTCGTTGTGAGGGCTGAGGGAGCAGCAGGGACCAAGGACTCTTCTCCCAGACCATTCCAGTTGGGATAGGAATAAGAAAAAAAAGTAGCCTCTACCTCTCTACTTCTTAGATATCACCGGGGACCTCAGATAGGAGCAGTGGATCCAAGCAAGGTTGTGCTAGAAGCTGGGGAGGTGAAAATGGGGACAGTTAGGCATAGGAGACAAGAGAAAAAACTGGGGACTGTGGGCATGGGGAGGGTAGGTGGTTCTCCTAAGCAGCCTCCCCACTAGCCTCTGTCCCTGGGGAGAGCCTACGGAAGGCACAGAGCTGGCATGGTGTGGGGCCCGGGATGCAGGAGGCCGGCAGAGCTGCTGTGGAAGGTGGGCAGAGAGTGCCGACAGCTCCGAGCCTGCTATCCTCAATGTCCACCCTTAAATGGTAACTCCAGGGGCACCTGGGTGGCTCAGTGGTTGAGCGTCTGCCTTCAGCTCAGGTTGTGATCCCAGGGTCCCGGGATCGAGTCCCATATCGGGCTCCCCACGGAGAGCCGAGCCTGCTTCTCCCTCTGCCTGTGTCTCTGCCTTCCTCTCTGTCTCTCTCATGAATAAATAAAATCTCTAAAATAAAATAAAATACACGGTCTCCAGGGAGACCAGGACAAGCAGGTGGTACTTCCCCCTCTCAGCCCTAGACTGTCCCTAGGATGAGACAAGCTAAGTTAGTACTCAGAGTTCCTTGCCCTTTTTCTGCCTTTTATGATTCTTTTCTTCCCTGAGGACCTTATTTTTTGCATAGGAATAGGGTGCTGGCCCAAGTTTTTCTCAGCATCCATCCCATCCTCTTCATCTGCTGTCACCTGCCACCTGAGAGCTTGCAGGTTCTGAACAATCATCTCTAAGACATAAGTGTTCTCCAGCCAAGAGGCCAACCATGTGTCTGAAGGCTGGGGCCTAGGACACTGGGACACATGAAATGAGGATAAGAGAGAGGGTGTGGGAAAGGGTCGTAGATATCACATTGAATCTCTAAAAGGGAGAAGCAGAAATACACTTAGGAAAGGTCAAGGTCACACTGAGGTGGGAAGTGGTTTGATGCAAGGTTCTTAGAAAACTACTGGTGAGCTTAGTTAAGATATCCTGGATTTGTGTGTGTCAGGGGCAGGGAACATGCTAGACAAGGACAGACAGTGATTCCCAATTCAGATAGACCCTTAGTTTAAGCCACCCCAGTATATAATATAAATAACATCTCTAGGGTTAGAGACCTCACAGATCACCTTCCCTGCACCTTCCCAAATGTGGCAGTAGATGGGCATCACCACTTCAGACTTACTAAAGCAGAATCTCGAGGTTAGAGAGGATTCCAACGCAGCTTAGCAACAATTACACATATCCAAACCCCCTTGCGTCATTGCTTAAGAAACAGAGGTGACTTGTTGAACATCATCAGGCAGCAAGCTACCTAGCACACTGCAAGAGCCAGGACTCAAAATCTAGATTGACACAAATGATACCAATGTGCTATAAAGAAAGATTCACCATGGGAGTCCTTTCAAAGTTTTAATTCATATTAAAATTTACTCCAGTAATAACATCATATTTAAAATGATGAATGCCAGCAGCCCAGAACATGTTTTTTAAACCTTGTATTTTTTAAACATGTAATAAAATTGCTGTGTATGTGTGTGTGTACAGTTCTGTGTTAACACACGCAGATTGGTGTAAGCACCGCCATCAGGATCAAAACAGTTCCATCACCCTGAACACCCTCCTGCTGATCCTTTGTAGTCACACCCTTCCTCTAATCCTAACCCTTGACAACCACTGATTTGTTCTCCATTGCTGTAACTCTGCCGTTTCAAGAATGTCATATAATGAAATCATATATGAAAGTAGCTCTTTCACTCAGCATAATGCCTTTGAGATTCACTCATGTTGTTTGTTGCATGTTTTTTTATTTTATTTATTTATTCATAGAGACAGAGAGAGAGAGAGGCAGAGACACAGGCAGAGGGAGAAGCAGGCATCATACAGAGAGCCCGAGGAGGGACTTGATCCAGGGTCTCCAGGATCACGCCCTGGGCTGCAGGCGGCGCTAAACCGCTGCACCACCGGGGCTGCCCTGTTTGTTGCATGTTATTCATAATTTACTCCTTTTTATTGCAGAGTAGTATTCTGTGTGGGGTTGTTTTTGTTTTTAAAGATTTTATTTATTTATTCATGAGACACAGAGAGAGAGAGAGGCAGAGACACAGGCAGAGGGAGATGCGGGATCCCTGCGGGGAGCCTGATGTGGGACTCAATCCTGGACCCTGGGATCACGCCCTGAACCCAAAACAGACGCTCAACTGCTGAGCCACCCAGGCGTCCCTCTTAACTGTGTGTTTATAGTCTGTTTATCCATTCACCCATCTGAGGATATTCTAGTTTCCAGTTTGGGGCAATTATGAACAGAGTTGCTATAAACATTTGTGTACAGGCTTTTGTGTGAACGTGTTTTAACTTCTTTAGGAATAAAATGGAGTGGGATTGCTAGGTCATATGGTAAGTGTATATTTAGATTTACAAGAAAATGCCAAACTTTTCCAGGGCAGCTACACCATTTTTCATTCTCACCAGCAATGTAAGAGAGTCCTGGCTGCTTTTTGCATTCTTGCCAGCAGTTAGTATTGTCAGTTTTTATTTTATTTTACCCATTCTATTAAGTGCGTAGGTGTTCTTCTATTTATTCTAATAGATACCTTGTCACGGTTTTAATTTGTATTTCCCTAGTGACTAATGATGTTGAACATCTCTTCATGTCCTTATTTGCCATCATTATAGCCTCTTTGATGAAATGTCTGTAAGTCTTCCTGCCATTTTTCAAAATTGGGCTGTTTATTTCCTTACAGTTGAGTTTGGAGCATTCTTTGTTTTTAAGATTTTATTTATTTATTCATGAGAGAGACAGAGAGAGAGAGAGAAAGAAAGAGAGAGAGAGAGAGAGAGAGAGAGAGAGAGAGAGAGAGAGAGGCAGACACACAAGCAGAGGGAGAAGCAAGCTCCATGCAGGGAGCCCGATGAGGGATTCGATCCCAGGACTCCAGGATCACGCCCTGGGCCGAAGGCAGGTGCCAAACTGCTGAGCCACCCAGGGATCCCCAAGAGTGTTCTTTACATATTCTGGTTAGAAGTCCTTTGCTAATAGGATTTGCAAACAATTCTCTCCCATTCTGTAGCTTGTCTTTTCCTCCTCTTGACATCTTTTTCTTTTTTTTTACCTCAAAAATTTTTTTTCAGATTTTATCTACTTATTCATAAGAGATACAGAGAGAGAGGCAGAGACAGGCAGAGGGAGAAGCAGGCTCCTTGTGGGGAGCCCAATACAGGACTCGATCCCAGGACCTGAGCCAAAGGCAGACACTCAACCACTGAGCCACCCAGGTGTCCCGACATCTTCTTTTTCAAAGCAAAAGTTGCAATTAAGATAAGTCCAACTTACCATCATTTTCTTTTGTATCATATTTTGAGTGTCATTGGAATGCCTGGGTGGCTCAGCGGTTGAACATCTGCTTTGGCTCAGGGTGTGATCCCGGGGTCCAAGAACTGAGTCCCGCATCAGGCTCCCTGTGAGGAGCCTGCTTCTCCCTCTGCCTATGTCTCCATCTCTCTCTGTGTGTCTCTCATGAATAAATAAAATCTTTAATAAATATGTTTTGGGTATCATATCTAAGAACATTTTGCCTAACTCTGGGTAACTAAAAGATTTTCTCCTATGTTATTTCTTAAAAGCTTTATAGTTCTGCACTTGATATTTACATCTTTCTTTTTCTTGGGTGAGTTTTAGTAGCTTATGGCTTTCAAGGTGTTGGTCCATTTTATCTAAATTGTTGAATTTATATGTGTAGGATTATTTGTCATATTTCCTTACTAACCTTTTAATGTCTGTGGGGGCAGTTTAGTGATATCCTGATATAGGTATTTTTATTTTATTCCTGATATAGGTATTTCTTGTCTCTCTTTTTAAAAATTTTTTTAAAGATTTTATTTTTAAGTACTCTCTACATCCAATGGGAGTCTCAAACTCACAATTCTGAGATCAAGAGTTGCATGCTATTAAAAAAAAAAAAAAGTCATATGCTCTACCACCTGAGCCAGCCAGGTGTCTTTTTTTTAATTAAAATTTTTTGGGGGTCAGTATGGCTAAAGGTTTATCAGTTTTATTGATCATTTCAAACAATTGACTTTGGGTTTCATTAATTTTTTTCTATTTTCAATTTCATTAATTTCTTTTTAAAAAAAATTTTTTATTTTTAAGTGATTTCTACACCTAGCATGGGCCTCAATCTCACAACTCCAAGATCAAGAGTTGTATATTCTACCGACTGAGCCAGCTAGGCACCTCTAAATTTCACTAATTCCTGGAAAGCCTGGGTAGCTCAGCAATTGGGTGTCTGCTTTTGGTTCAGGGTATGACCTCAGGATCCAGGATCAAGTCCCATATCCAGCTCCCTTCATGAAGCCTGCTCCTCCCTCTACCTGTGTCTCTGCCTCTCTGTCTCTCTCATGAATAAAGTCTTTTTAAAAAATAAATTTCACTAATTCCTGCTCTTATTATGTTTTCCTTTTGCTTGCTTTGTGTTTACTTTTGCTGTTCGTGTATCTTCTCAAGGTAGAAGTAGAGATTGTTGACATTGAGACCTTTCTTCTTTCCTAATATAAACATTTGATGTGATCATTTTCTTTAATCACTACTTTAGCTGCATCCCACGTATTTTGATATTTTGTATTTTCCTTCTTTTTTAAAAAGAGTTTATGTATTTATTTGAGAGGGAGGCAGAGAGAGCATGAGCAGAGGAGAGAGGCAGAAGGAGAGGAATAAGCAGACTCCCCACTGAGTGCAGAGCTTGACATGAGGCTCAATCCTAGGATCCTGAGATCATGACCTGAGCCAAAAGCAGATGCTTAACCAACTGAGCCACCCAGGTGTCCCTCTTGGGACTTTCTTTTTGATCATTGGATTATTTACAAGTAGGTTGTTTAGTTTCTGTGTGTTTGGAGATTTCCCTGTTATCTTTCTGTTATTGATTTCTAGTTTTAATTCCATTATGGTCAGAAAGCATACTTTGTATGACTTCAATCCTTTTAGACTTGTTGAGGTTTGTTTTAGGACTCAGGACATGATCTGTCTTGGTAAATGTGCCATATGCATTTGAAAAGAAATTGTCATTCTGCTGTGTTGGGTAAGTGTTCTATAAATTTCAGTTAGATCCTTTCATTTTTTTTTAAGATTTTATTTATTTATTAATGAGAGACACACACAGAGAGAGAGAGAGAGAGAGAGAGAGAGAGGCAGAGACACAGGCAGAGGGAGAAGCAGGCTCCATACAGGGAGCCAGATGTGGGACTCGATCCTGGGACTCTAGGACCATCCCCTGAGCTGAAGGCGGCTGCTCGGCGGCTGAGCCACCCAGGCATCCCAAGACTGTCTTTATTTTACATTAACTTCTGAGTGACACTTTCTTTGGATATAGAATTTTGAATTGACAGTTTTCTTTCAGCACCTTAAGTGATTCCAGTTCCCTCTGGTTTCCATAGTTTTGATGAGAAATCTGCAGTAATCTGAGTTATCGTTCCCTTAAATGAAATTGGTTGTTTTTCTTTAGATGTTCTTTGGATATTTTTGTTTTTAATTTTCAGCAATTTATTGTGTCTGGTCATAGATTTGAGTATATTGTTTGCTCTTCACCAAGCTTCTTGAATCTGTATTTGGCTTTTGCCAAATTTGGGACCATTTTAGCCATAAGAACTGCCAATAATTTTCCAATTTCATACTTTTTCTCTGCACCTTCTGGGACTCTGTTGACACAAATGTCAGATCTTTTGGTCTTGTCCCACAGGTCTCTGAGATTCTGTTTTATCTTTTTTGTTTGTTATAACTTACATATTAACTATCTTCAAAGTCACTCCTCTGTCATCTCCATTCTGCTATCCAGTGAACATTTTGTTTTGGCTACTCCTACTTTGCAGTTCTAAAATTTCCATTAGGCTTTTCCTTAGGTCTTCTATTTCTTTGATAAAACTTTCTATCTTACCATTTGTTTCAAAAGCCTCCTCCCTTTCTTCTTCCAGTATAGTTATACTAACTCCTTATAAGTCTTTGCTTTAAATTCCAACATCTCTGTCTTGGGGTTGGTTGTCTTTTCCCTGGAGAGTTCTTTGTATGCTGAGTAATTTTAGATTGAATTCTGGATACTTTGAATATTGTTTTGAGACTCTAGATCTTACTAAGATCCTAATGAGAATGTTTTTCGTTTTAGCACACGATTGACCAGTTTGGTTCAGGCAATAATTTATCTTCTTTGCCTTGTGGTTCCAATGTGAGTTTAACTTTCAGTTTGTGATGTCATTTAAATCAATCCTGTATGTGTGCTGCCCAATGATTAATCAGACCTGGATAGTAGTCCACATTGTAGCTCAATTCATAAAGCTTTGGTAGTATGCTTAAGGTCAGATGCATGCTTGTGCAGCTTTGCAGTGAGCCCAGGAGTTCACACACAACTCTATAGGACTCTCAGTTTCCCTCCTCTCTGTGATCTCCCTGACACTTTGATTCTCTGGGTCTTCCTTTCCCAATCCTCTGGCAAAAGAGGGGGGGAGGGGCTTTAGTTTCTCTACTCTGCTGAGTATTTCCCATTATGTGTCTGAGCTAAACATCAACAGAACAAAGAAAAAAAGCAAAGAGATTGGCCTCACACTTTTGGGACCACAGCTCCTGTAGTAGGGGAATCCTCCTCCTTCAGTTTTCAGTGCCTGCCCAGTCACTACAGCTGTCATTTTGCTGCTGTACCTACACCACCATGGTACCGCCTGGGGCTAGAGGTGGAAGAGAAGGAAAAAAGAAAAACAACAGGTGATTCCTCTATTCTCTGACCCTGAGGAATCCCTTTCCTGCTCCTCAGACTTGCAATAGATGGCTCCAAGAGAAGTTCATTCAGTTCACACCTGATGTACAGGTTTGGGGTCACCTTTGAGTCCACTCTGGGCAATAATGGAGGTGAGGGAAATGGCAAACACCACTGGTTTCACGGAACTTCAAATTCTGGTTTCTTCCTCGTTACCATTTACTTCTCTGAGATCTCATACAATTGCCCCATGCATTCTGTCCAGGAGCATTGGGAGTGATGGGAGTGGGATGTGCCTGTTCCATTTATAATCTGTGTGGTCCTGAGCAAGTTACATAACGTCTCTGTGCCTTTTCTGTCATCTTTAGAAGAGGATAATAGTGGTATCAACCTCAAAAGGCTATTGTGTGGATTAAATGAATTTATATATGTAAAGCGCTTACAATAACGCTTGACTATAGTTAAGCACTTAATGAATATTAAACTATTGTAAAAAAAGATGGAACAGAGATAGGTAAAAAAGACAAAAATTACCCAAAACCCCTATTGCCAACAGATAAAACATATACATTATGGTTTATATTATTTCAGATTTTTCAGTCAAGATATATTTACCAATTCATTGAATAGACAAATGAATATCTAAGTATAGAATTATATTCCCTGCCCCATTCCCCAAATTATGCATTTATTAGGGTAGAGGCAGTAGGTTACAGAATAAAACCTTTCATCACACTCTTCCTCCCACCCAAAATGCTCATCCTCTGGGCAGCCCCAGTGGCCCAGCGGTTTAGCGCCACCTTCAGCTTGGGGTGTGATCCTGGAGACCCGGGATCAAGTCCCGCGTCAGGCTCCCTGCCTGGTGCCTGCTTCTCCCTCTGCCTGTGTCTCTGCCTCTCTCTCTGTGTGTGTCATGAAAAATAAATAAAAAATCTTAAAAAGAAAATGCTCATCCTCCATCAGGCTAACTGCCACTTTAGCTTCTAGTTTCAGTTGAAAGGTCACATCCTTGAAGAAGGCTTTTCTGACCCCAGGTAAGATATAGATCCCTATGTTAAATGCTTTCATGTCACCCTATACATCTTAGTACTTATCACACTTTTAAATACTTAGCCATATACTTAAGAACCTCAAAACATGAGACAAGTCCTCTCTCTTGTCCTGTACTCAGTTTCACCTTTGCACATCCTTCTGTTCCAGATGGTGACCCTAGGCCTCCTTACCTGTCTAAGGCCCTGCACTGCCTTTTAGCTGATCCAAGTTGGCACTAATCTGGGCAAGTCTGCTTATATAAATGGGACTTCTCAGCTCACAGCTGAGTCAATGAGGACAGTGAAGGCATATTTCTAGTCCACATCCTGGAGATTCTAATTCAGTAGGAACTGGGGTGGGAGTGGGGTCCAGGAATATGCATTTTCAAAAGATCCCCTAGTGTTTCTGTGGGCTACCAGCATCAGATGCTGGTATGATATGCTGCTGGCCCACAGAAACACTGCCTGTGGTAAGAAACTTCTAATATGACTTCCACAGTGACCCCTGCCTTCTGACAGTCAATAGGCTGGAACGGGGGACTTGTAAAACTAATGGGATACCTCTTCTGTGACTAGATAACAAGACCAGTTCTGCTTTCCTGATGTAGTCTCTCTGGCTTTTGCTCTGATGGAGAACTACCAGGGCTGCCTCTGACCAACAGCCAGCCCAGAAATGAGGTATGGCTCCAGCTAACACTTTGATTGCAACCTTGTGAGAGACTCTGAGACAGAAAAGTGTGCCCCACATTCCCAAGCCACAGAAACAGACAATAAATGTGTTGTTTTAAGCCACTAAATTTTAGGGTAATTTGTTACACTGTATCAGGTAATACATTGCCTAGACTTCCCAAAGCTCCCTTCTATCATCCATGTTGGAAAACACATCTACACGGAGAATTTCCAATCTCTCCTCAACAGGATTTCATGAATACTGACTGTAGACGTTGTCTTTGCTCTTCTTATGCATAAAGATGTACACAGTCTGGTTGCTGTTTTTAGCTTCAGACACTATGGCTTAGTATTTTAAGTGTCACTAGTTTCATGAGCATGAACTCTGAATTCTCATAAAGGCAAGTCCTCTTTCTCCTCCTACCATAGTGGTCCAGCCGTAAGACTACCTAAGACTGCTGTACATTAGGGATCAGTGTGTGCCAGTGATGGTAAGATTGATTAGAAATATTCTGGTGCCCTGAGCTTGGTCAAACATGAAGTCTCTAAATCCTGAACCAAGTTTCATTGTTAAAAACTGAGTCCCAAAATAATCTGCTCCCCCTTCTTCATGCCTTAGTAGCCAAGAGCCCTGTCTTTCTAAGTCAAAGACAAATTGCATTTGCATGTCTTCAGGAACATGTGAATGGTCCCCTTCCATCTCCGGGTGTTAAGCCAGGCAGTCCCGACTCAGCCCACAGTTGGACTCAGAGCCATCCACTGAAGGCTGGAACTAGAGAGCTCAGAGAATTATGGCGTGCCACTGGCTGGAACTAGCTTACAAAACAAGATACTAAGTTCAAGTGAAAAGTTGGGGTGGCGGGGGAAGGGGGGCAAGGGGACAGGCTCAAAGTGCCAGGAATTAGCAACTTCTACACAATGGAGGGTGTGGAGGGAAGGGCTTTATTGAAGAGGAAGAGACTGAGAACCAAGACAAAAGAGGCTCAACAAACTTGTCAAGAGCAAAGCTAAACTTAGAACTCAGGAGTGTCACCTCCTCAAGTAGGGCTCACTAGACTGGCCCTGGGAAGTCTCCACTGCCCTCTCAAAACCAGAGGCTCACCCAGCCCACTTTTAACCAAAATCCAGGATCTCACCCCACTTTCTAGTTCTGTGACTGAGACCTTTGGCACTGGTAGAGCGGTCTGTACTAAATCTCTACCTAGAGAAAAACACAATCTCTGGAAAGCAGCTCAGTCAACATTGGGACCCTTGGGGGCAATGGCTTCATGTCCAAGTTGGGTGGCAGGGGGGCGGTCAACCATCCCTTACACTAGAGCTTCTCAATTCTAAAAAGTGCGCAGCAGTCCACTAGACTGAGACCAACTCTCCCAGCATGGGAAGCTCTGCCTTGGATAGTGGATAGGAGCCTGCTGCTTCTTACAGCAGCTCTCAAGAGTTGTGTGGTCCTGATGCAAAAACTGAAGGTTATTATGAACTCCTCCCCCTTATAATTCTGTAAGAAGGAAAACAGCAGGCTGAACTCCAGCTCCTTGAGAGCAGAGCCAGCGACAGTCATTTTCCATGTCAGTGCTTTTTGCACATTGATGCTCAGAAAGCATCTGCTGCTTCTGAATGAGTGCTGGGACACTGAGCAATTTGTCTACAGTCATATGACTCAAGATCTAGGTCTCCTGGCTCCTAGGCCAGGACTCAGCACATAGTATCTGGTTCTCCTCTTTTTCCAGCACTTTGCTTTACAATGGACAATGAGCCTTCTTCCCATCCACACATAACAAAGACAGAAGATACCCATTTCAGGGTATGTTTGTAGATAGACTTCTCATAGATTTATTTCTGTTTCATGTTATATATAGATATATGTATATATACTTTTTTTTTTTTTTTATATACAATCTATATCCCCTTCCCTTCCCCAAACTCACAAAAGGAAGTATAAATCCTTCCAGGATTGCCATCAGGCTTTCCAAGATAGCCAGGGCTAAGAAAGAACCATCTCTCAACATCTCAAGAGACAGCTGCTGTTCTTAGGCTCTGGGGTCATTGAAGCAGCAGCATTCCCAGGACCCAAGGGGAGGAAAGAGGAGAGGAAACAACTGTAGTGTGATGGGATTCTAGGATGAAAGTGTCCAGTGACTCCTAGAATGGGAGACTGGCTCCCAGAATTCTCTGGGTGGGAATAAAGGTGGAAGCCCTATGGCTCTTCAGATGCTGCCCAAAAAAGGCTGGGGGTAAGGAGTACAAATTGGGGATCAGGCATGCAGGGATGGGGGTTAGAAAGAGAAGAAACACACGTGGGTTATGCTCCAGAAGGAGCAGCCCCACCTACTCCATGACGTATAACGAACAGGGACAGATGCTGGCCACCCTCCCCCCCTTAAAGAAACAGGGAGAGAGCATAGCAGGGAGGGGGAGGGAGACAATGGGACACACAAGAAAGTCACATAAAGCAAAAGTACCAACAAAAACATGACTTGTACTTGCCTCCTCCTTAGAGGAGGGTCGGGAGAGAAGGGGGAGGTTAAGGGTCATGAACCTAAGATTATCAGCTGGCCAGGGGCACAGGAAGGCTCTCTGAGGACTCCTAAAGGACAGGCAGGCAGCTGGGACCCCACATCCCCAAGGAAGAAACGACAGTCCCTTCAGTTCGACTTGGACCAAATCTTGGCGCTCCCTCGGAGCCTGGCAAAGGGAAGAGAGAGAGAGAGGCTGCAGGGAATCCCTTGACCCCTGTGGGCTCCCACCATGTCTACCCCCATGCAAATGACTAAAGAGGGTGAGGACAGCCAGGTCACTGAAGTAAAAGCAGGGTACCCCGGAAGCAAGCAGTTCCTGCTATAGTGGCTCACCCCTTGCCCTTTGAGGCTTTCTTGCTGGGCTGGCGCTGGTTGGTGCCAGGGGCAGGTTCCCTCAGCTCAGTCAGGTGCTGTTCAGGGTCCTGAGATGTAGCCGCGGCAGCTGCGGCTGTTGTAACTTTAATGGTTTTTTTCAGGTTGGCGACCTACCGGAATGAAAGAAATGGGGGAGGATGACGGAAGACCCAGAATCAGCCAGTCCCTGCCTACCTTGTCTTTTTGCTATAGCCACAGTCCCACATCCCCCACCACACCCCCCCATCCCGCACAGAACAGCTGGCCTGGACTGCACGAACTTGGGTCCGTCCGGATCCCTGGTCTGCTCACCTCACTCTCGATCTGCTGCTTCAGGCCAAGCTGCTGTTCTTTGTGCTGGTTGGCACGGCTCACCTGCTCCTCAATGCCTGACAGCACCACCTCACAGCCCACACACCTGCAAGAATCAAGAAAGGAGAAGCATCAGCAGAGGGAGGCTGTGATCACATACTCACAAAAAACAGACTTGGAATATCCTGCATCCAAACCCTTGTCCTGATTCAGGAACCCTAGCCAGGGCACCTGGAGACCACGGGCAACAAGGGTCTCAGAAGCCACAAAGACACTTGGTGGACAAGAGAGGTAGGGGAAGTGCCTGGAATAATGTGCAATGTTGTGAGGAGGAACTAAATATAACAACAGGTGGATGCTGAAGGGAAAAACAAAAAAGCATGTTAGACAAGAATATAAAGAGAGAAACAGAAGTGGAAGAGACCCATGGCCTACAGTGTTGCTTACAGACCAGTGGGATGAATACAACTGAAGACAGTGAGGCTCCAACATCCCAGTGAGGATCCTCTCCAGAGTACTGCTCCCTCTCCCATCCCCCAGTTACTAGGCCAAGGACACTGCATCCAGCCTCTTGCTCTTCAGGCCCTCCTCTGCTCCCTTCTGCCCTCGGAAGCTTTTGGAGGAATGAGCTCACTTCCCTTCTTCCTCTGGGATTCCACCTATGCAGCCCAGCCCAGTCCTCCCCACCACCCCCCAAGAGAAAGAGAAGAGAAGAGCCAGGGCCAGGAGCCAGTTCTCACCATTCCTGCAAGGTCCGAGTGATGGCACTGAGGTCCTGGCGCTGGATGTCCCGCCCGATGCTATAGTCAACCTCCAGCCGCTGGTTGCGCTGGTCCAGAGAGCCGCGGAGCACATCGGCGTACACCGCCTCAATGACGAGGTCTTCCAGCTGCCGCACATTACGCAGGGCAAGGGCCTCCAGCAACACTGCGTATGGGATACACTGGGGCCCAGGGAGGTCAGGCTGGGATTTGTGAGGTTCTGCAGCATAGAAGGGCTCCCAAGATTCTTCCCTCCTTATCCCCCCTGCCTATCCTCCACTCCTACTCCTAAATGATTTCCTCTAAGAGGCTGGTTCTTTTGTTTGTTTTAAAGATTTTATTGATTTATTCATGAGACACAGAGAGAGGTAGAGACATAGGCAGAGGATAAAGCAGGCTCCCTGCGGGGAGCCTGGTGTGGGACTCGATCCCAGGACCCCAGGATCACAACCTGAGCCAAAGGCAGACACTCAATCACTGGGTCACCCAGGTGCCCCTAAGAGGCTGGTTCTAAGGCAAAATAAGGGAAAGTATTGCCACCTGAAAACATTCCAAGAAGGAAAACTGCAAATAAAATAGAAGATTTACGTTCCCCTACCACCCTTTACCTCCCACACCATCGAGGAAGAAAGTGACATCTGCCTGGATGTCAATCCTCCAGCCACAGCTCAAGACAGCACACAGACCTTGGAGCATACAAGCCTAGCATTAACGGGAACAGGTGGGGGAGGGCTCTGGTGTTCCTGTTTATCATTTATCTCCCACTTCCTTCCAAAGCGGCATCTCACGATAGGGAGCCTGATTTAGGTAAAGTCATGAGAATGACAAGAGAATCAAGTAACAGTAGAGAGAATGTTAGGTGTGTGTGTGGGGGGATATTTAATAAAAAACTGAACCTAACTGAAACTACTTTTGGGCCATATACTTCTGACTCTAGCATTTAGAAGCCTAGTACTTCACCAGAAAAGAGAGCTTTGTTGCCAAATCTGAAAGCCGAGGGCATTCGTACGGGACTTTATTTTTTTAGGATTTTTATTCAATTGTTTGACAGGGAGAGAGGGAGAGAGAGAGAGAGAGTGAGAGAGAGAGAGACAAAGCGCACACGCAGGAGAGCATGAGTGGGCATGAGCTGGGGAGGGGCGGAGAGGGAGAAGCAAGCTCCCTGCTGAGCAGCGATGACGGGATCCCAGGATCCTGGGACCATGACCTGAACCAAAGGCAGACACTTAATCGACTGAGCCACCCAGGCACCCCTGTGTGGGACTTCCCATTGTGAGGAGGCAGGTGATTGCTAAACAAGTAAATGGTATCCTGGTTGCTATTTTGACCCAAAATGCAAAAAAATGCTGAATGAAACACAAAACAAAACTGAAAACTAAGAATATTCAGGGATGCCTGGGTGGCTCAGTTGGTTAAGTGTGGGCCAAGGCTGTCTAAGTGCAAATTCCCTTTGGACCATCCCTTGTGAAGGGACATTCCTCTTTGCCTCATGACTGGGGCAGGTGTGTGTGTGTGTGTGTGTGTGTGGGGGGGTGATGGACTGTCACTCACCTTGACTTTAGCAGCCAAGGTGACAACTGATAGGTGGCGAAGCTTATTCTTCTGAGCCTCCGTGAGTGGGGGAAGATTCCGGGCTTCAGCTGGGATAAAAGGACAAAGCAGAGGAAATCTTGATTACACTTTCGTGTGAAGCCCTAGCTTCCTACCCTCTACTTAAAAAAATTTTTTTAGTTTTCCATGTCAATTCAGGTCTTGACCCTGACCCTGTGTACCCCAGGAGGGTTTCCCAGGAATTTCTTTGAAGTCCTTCCAGAAACTGCCCTTCTCCCACCACTACTCCAGAGCTCTAACCCTCTGGTTACCTAAGTAATCAGCATATGTCCCATAGGCGAACACGGTGAGCAGCCGGAACGTGGAAGCGAAATCACTCTCAGCCAGCTGCAAAAATACGAAGGAAGAGGTGACAGGACAGGCCTCTCTCCAGTTCCCCAGCCTCATTCTGTTCTCAATTCCACTTTCTGGCCCCATCTCTCCCTTCTCCCATCGGCTCTCCCAGCACCCCCCCCCCCCCCGCAGGACTTCTCTGCCTCTCTGATGGCTCTCCCTATATGAAGGCCTCATTGCCACCTCCAGGCTCCAGTTGTCTACACTACTCCGCCCAATCCACCATGCCCTCTTCCTCTGTACGTCTTCATTCTTACCCCAAATTCAGAACTGAGCACATTCAGAGTGTTTGGTAGTGAGCGTACGTGCATGTACACACACACGCACTCAGACATTGTAAACTGCATTTTGGTCCTTAGAGCATGTTTAATATTTCTGAATCTGAGTAGGCAGTCTGCCGTACCTCCCAATTCACCAAACACTCCTGCGTTAGCCTCACTCATCTCTGAGAGCTGCATGGCCTCTACGTCAGACCTGCAGCACCCAGGAGGCTTTCATCATCCAGGCCAGCCCACTCAGATCTCCTCTCCAATCACTGATCACTCATTCTGGCACTTAATCAAACCCTTAGGCTGTTACCGAAGAATATCTTTCTTTCCAATATGATAACAGCTCCAGGCCCTGGTATCCCACCCAGTTAGGTCTGCAGAGCTATTTGGCTCTCAGAAAATACTTGCTAAATGAGTAATTTACATGGCCATATCCATTCATCTTATCTCTGCAACTGGAATATAAGTTTTAGGAGGATAATAAGCACTGTGTCTTACACTTTTCTGGTATTCCCAGATGACCCGCAGAGAGAAACAAGCACTCAACAAATGCTTGTTTTTTTCACCTTAACGGACCCTCTTTAGTTCCACTGCAGAAGAAAGCGCAGGGAAAGAAGGCAGCCAGAGTTTTCTCCATATACCAGTGACTCCTGAAAGCTAAATCCATTGACTCCATCAATTACTGGCTCTCAAAAAGCTAACACAGTTTGCCCGCATATCAATGCCATAGCACCTCAGGACTTGAGCAGATGTCACACATCTTGGTGATCCAGCACCCTCTAGACTTTAAACTCTTAACTCTATGTGAACAGTTCTCTCTGCTGTGTCCCTAGCATCTTGCCACATGTCTCGGGGAGAAAGACACCTTCTAACACTTCCAGGCACTTATCTAACCTAAGTGAATGAACAAAGAGTACAAAGTGAGGAGAGGAGGGGCTGCCAATTTCATGTTCATTCCTCCCAATTGTACCAGATTCTACACTTCCCATAATCTGACCTGATTCCTATAATTGACACTGAGGGGCAGTATCAGTTTCAATTTTAAACGGAGGTCTTAAAGTAAAAGTGACCTGATCAAGGCAACATGATTTTACTAAGAGGTACTACATTGGAGGAGACAGGATGGAATTAGGTCTCCTTTTCTGAATCACTCTTTGGCTTAAAAATGAAAAACAGTGGGTTTTACAGATGATTCATCAGCAAAGGAAAGTGAGAGGTTTATTTGCCTACTTATTTTGCCAGCTGCTAATTAATCATCACCATATTCCTGTTCAACCGAATGGTTATGCGGTTGCAAATGAGCCCTGCCCACCCATTCTCAAATTCAGACTTAGTCCCAAGCTTCCATGTGTGCCTTCTAGGCCAGGAACCCACCTCTCTAACATTAGGCATATCCAGCAGTTCCCCAAACACGTAGACACCAGGAGCCTCCAGCACCTGGTGAATGAGTGTGGCCAGCGCTGCCCCCTTGGCCGACTTGGCCAAGAGCAGAAATTGCTCCTGGTTCTGCCCTGTCACCTTCACCTCGGCACTCATGGCTGCAATGAGCTGGGAGGGCCTGGGCTCAGGATATCTGGAGCTGCAAGGAGAGAGAATGTGAAGCTGGAAGTCCCTGAACCCTGGGAGGGCGGGAAGCACAGGGGCCAGGGGCTGGACTGCAGAGGCACTGAGTCACTTCTACAAATGAAGAACAAGAGATGGAGCTGTCTAAAACTCGGTTCTAGAAATCCGAAAACCGGCCACTTTGATGGAAGCCTGGCTGAGACAGAGTTGCCAGGCCCCCTCCCCCATCCCTGGGCCTGATCCCAAGGCCCACCACGTGCACCCCACTGAACCCCAAGGCATAGGATGTGCTGGGGGAAGGGGCGTCACATGGTGTCCACCCTAACAACAACGCTCCCTCAAATTTCCACGGTGCCCCACAAGTACCCCCAACCACGTGACCTCACCCTCACGGTCCTTCCACGTGGCTCCGCCCCCTCCCTTAAAGAGGCCGCCCAGGGACCACGGGCTCACGCCGACTGCCCCGTCGTACCCTGGCTCAGACTCTGCGGGCCGCTACCTGGAAGCTTCGTCTTCCAGCACACCGGGCGGGGCAGCCACTCCGTCACCTCCGGCAGCTGTTCCAAGCCTTTCCTGCCACCTCCCTGTAGAGTCGCTCTGGCCACTACCACTCTATGGCGGGCTTCCGGCTCGTACTTCCGCTCTGGCGAGGCCAGGCCCCTCCCCCGCCTTCCGAGGGCTGAAGCTCCGGCGAGCGCCAGTCATTCTACTCTCTGATTGGCTGTTGAGGAAGAAGGACGGCGTCTTTTTTTTTCCTGCTCTGTTTCAATAAAACTTTATTGTCCGATGAGCGCTAGATGGTAAATGCAAAGGGAGCCCCCTGGTCTGCAGCAGGTACCGGGTGGTTATGTGTCTGTTCAAAGCTGCTTGAAATCTGGAGATCCGGGCTGCACAGGGCGCCGGAGGCGGCAGGAAAGCTGTAATGAGAACGAGCGGTCTGGAGAAGGAAAAAAGGGAGGGAGGGAAATGAGAGACAGGAAGAAGACAAGAATCAATAATAGAAGTTTAGCAGCAGGGATCCCCTGGCTATTTTAACCACTCCTTTTTTTGAGGAGCAAGAGGAAAGTAGTGGGAAAAGTAAAGGAAGTAATAAGAGGTAACACTGACATTGTAGTAACATTGCTCACTATTGGTGAGGCATCTTTTAAAATTGTACCCCTTTGAAGCCTCCTAACTATACTGCATCCCCCCCCCCGCCCAGTGTGACTCCGGGAGTACTTGTAGAGTGAGGCTTTCGTGCGCATCGAGTCATTTCATTCCTGCGAGACGAAAAACCCCTAGGTGTAAGGAAGGTATCTGTTATTACTTTAACTTTATAGATAAGGAAATTGATGCTCATAAAAATTTAGAGATTTTGGGATGCCTGGGTGGCTCATGGTTGAGCGTCTGCCTTTCGCTCAGGGTGTGATCCCAGAGTCCCGGAATTGAGTCCCACATCCGGCTCCCTGCATGGAGCCTGCTTCTCCCTCTGCCTGTGTCTCTGCCTCTATCTCTGTGTCCCTCATGAATAAATAAAATCTTTTTTTTTAAATTTATGATAGTCACACACACACACAGAGAGAGAGAGAGAGAGAGAGAGAGAGAGAGAGGCAGAGACACAGGCAGAGGGAGAAGCAGGCTCCATGCACCGGGAGCCCGACGTGGGATTCGATCCCGGGTCTCCAGGATCGCGCCCCGGGCCAAAGGCAGGCGCCAAACCGCTGCGCCCCCCAGGGATCCCTCTCATGAATAAATAAAATCTTAAAAAAAAAGTTAGAGATTTCAAATTGAACACCAATAAAAAAAAAATAAAGTTAGAGATTTGCCTGGAATTCAGGTCTCTTCAAGCTGGAAACTATCTTTCCACGTTACCATGATACTTTAGGAAAAATAATAAATAACTAACAGTTCTATAGTATATTACATCACGCGGGCTTGCAGAAGGTCAAATAAGAATAAAGTTAATGACGTTTTGGAGGACTTTGTGTTAGATGCTGAATGAAGAGGTTTAGTTAATTCATTTGATGCTTATAACAATCTATTATTTTTATTTTCTAGATGGAAACACTGAGGCCCAGGGAAGTTAAGTAATTTATAAACAATGGAAAGAAAAGAAAGTGAGAAAAAAAGAGAACATAAATGAAGAGAGTATCACAGGACTGGTAGACTGCTGAAGAGGAAGGGACCTTAAACTCAAAGTTTATGGTCCACATGGCTGAGTTTATGGTAGCAAATGAGAAGCAGAAACAGACAAAGGAGATAGAGAGAGGAGAAGGAGGGAAAAAAGGAGAGGAAGAGGTAGAGGAAAAAGTAAAGAAGAAGAAAAGAATGGGAGGGGCACCTGGGTGGCTCAATTGGTTAGGCTTCTGCCTTCCACTTAGGTCATGATCTCAGGGTCCTGGCATCAAGCTCCGCATCAGGCTCTTTCCTCAGCATTGGGTCAGCTTCTCCCTCTGCCTCTCCCTCTATGATCTCTCTGGCTCTCACTCTCTCTCAAATAAATAAAATCTTTTTTTAAAAAAGAAAAGAATGGGAGAGATGATACATAAAAGTGAGGAGAAGGAATCAAAAACATTATAAAACATCCAAAATTTGAAAGAACCAAAGAATTAATGAGTCCAAACTTCTCAATTTAAATTTTTTTTAATTTTAAAGTTTTATGTATTTATTTGACAGAGAGAGCACAAGTAGGCAGAGTGGCAGAGTGGCAGGCAGAGGGAGAAGCAGGCTCCCCACTGAGCAGAGAGCCCAATGTTGGGCTCCATCCTAAGAGCCTGGGATCATGACCAGAGCCGAAGACAGGTGCTTAACCACCTGAGCCACCAGGTGCCCCAATCTTCTCAATTTAAAGAGGGAAGGGAAAAAAATGCAAGGAAAGAACAAGAGCCCACGTATGTTCTATTATGTACCATGTTTTTATCTGTTCAACTTTTCTTTAAGAATTTTTTTTAGAGTAGTTTTAGGTTTATAATAACATTGACAGTGAGGTACAAAGATTTCTCATACTAACTTCTGCTCCCACACATATATAACCTCCCCAGTAACAACATCACTCACCAGGATGGTACATTTTTGTACCAAAGATGAACCAATATTGACTACATCATAATCACCGGAAATCCATAATTTATCTAGGATTTCAGTCTTGGTAGTGTACATTCAATGGGTTTGGATAATGTATAGTGACATATATCCATCATTACAATATCATACAGAGTATTTTCACTGCCCCAAAAATTCTCTGTGCCCTACCTGTTCATCTCACCCCACCCACAACCCCTGGCAACTACTGATCTTTCTTCATTGTCTCCAGTTTTACCTTTTCAAGAATGTCATAGAGTGGAAATCACACCATATGTGGCCTTCTCATGTTGGCTTTTTGCACTTCAAGTTTCTTCCATGTTTTTTCTTTTCTTTTTTTCTCTTCCATGTTTTTTTAAAATTTTATTTATTTATTCATAGAACTACAGAGAGAGAGAGAGAGAGAGGCCGAGACACAGGCAGAGGGAGAAGCAGGCTCCATGCAGGGAGCCCGACGTGGGACTTGATCCTGGGTCTCCAGGATCACACCTCAGGCTGCAGGCGGCGCTAAACCGCTGCGCCATGGGGGCTGCCCTCTTCCATGTTTTTTCATGGCTTAATAGCTCATTTCATTTTAGCCGCACTAGTCTTCCATTGCCTGGATGTACCACAGTTTATTTATCTATTCATAGACTAAAGGACATCTTGGTTTCTCCCAAGTTTTGGCAATTATGATTAAAGCTGCTGTAAACATTCATGTGCAGGGTTTTGTGTAGACAAAATTTTCTGCTCCTTTGGGTAAACATCAAGGAGCACGATCACTGGAACATATGGCAAGGGTATGTTTAGTTTGGTAAGAAACCACCAAACTGTTTTCAAAAGTGGCTGTACTCATCAGCAATGTATGAAAGTTTCTTTTTTGTTTTTGCTTTTTTCATTGTTAGAGAGAGAAAGAGGAAGAGAGCATGAGCAGGGAGGGGAGAGGAAGGGGGAAAAGGAGAGAGAGAATCCCAAGCAAGTTTCGTGCTCAGTGTGGAGACTGGACTCCACTCAATCCCACGACTCTGAGATCATGACCTGAGCAGAAATCAAGAGTTGGATGCTTAACCAACTGAGCCACCCAGGCACCCCTTATAGTTTCCATTGCTTCACATCCTGGCTAGCTTTTGGTATTGTCAGCGTTCCAGATTTTGACCATTCTACTAAGTGTGTAGTGGTATCTCACTGTTGTTTTAATTTGCATTTCCCTGATGACATGATGTGGAACATCTTTTCATGTGCTTACTTGCCATCTGTGTGTCTTTGGTAGAGTATACGTTAAGATTAATTGGGTTGTTTGTTTTCTTATTTGTTGAGTTTTAAGACTTCTTTGTTTATTTTGGATAATAATCCTTTATCAGATGTGTATTTTGCAAATATTATCTACCAGTCTATGACTTGTGTTCTAATTCTCTTCTTCTAATTGGTCTATTGCAGAGCAGAAGTTTTTTGTATTAATTAAGTCCAGCTTATCAATTATTTCTTCAATAGATTGTGTCTTTGATGTTGTATCTAAAAAGGCATCACCATACTCAAGGTCATCTAGGTTGTTTCCTATGCTATCTTCCAGGAGTTTTACAGTTTTGCATTTTAGGTTTAGGTCTCTGATGCATTTTGAGTTAATTTTTGTGAAGAATATAAACTCTGTGCCTGAATTCTTTCTTTCTTTCTTCATGTGAATATACAGTTGTTCCAGCATCATTTTTTGAAGAGATTGTCTTTGGGGGGGGATCAAACCATTTTATTGAAGGGCTTCAGAGAAAGGTCAAAGAAGTTGGAGCACAGTGAGATTCGACATCCTCAGCTATGCCAGGATCTCTCCAGCTTCCCAGTTATTGAAAATGAAGAACTCATCTTTGATCCATTGTTTTGCTTTTACTCTTTTGTCAGAAGTTACTTGACTATATATATAGGGGTCTATTTCTGGGCTCTCTATTCTGGTCCACAGATCTTTTCGTCTGTTCTTTCACCAATACTCCACTACCCTGATTACTATAACTTTATAGTAAGTCTTGAAATCAGATAGTGTCAGTCTTCCAACTTTGTTTTCCCCTTTCAGTACTGTATGAGCTATTCTAGGCCTTTTGCCTCTCCGTATAAAATTTAGAATCACTTTGTTAATATCCATAAAATAACTTGCTAAGTGTGAGATTGGGATTGCATTGAATCTATAGGTCAAATTGGGAAGAACTGATATCTTGATAATATTGGGTCTTCATAGCTATAAACATTAATTATCTCTCCATTTATTTAATTCTTTAATTTTACTCATCAGAGCTTTTTAAAAAAGAATTTATTTATTTACTCATAAAAAAGAATTTATTTATTTACTCCCTGTGGGGAGCCTGATGTGGGACTTGATCTCAGGACTCCAGGATCATACATGAGCCATCCAGGTGTCCAGTTCATCAGAGTTTTATTTTTTTTATATAGCTCTTATGTATATTTTGTAAGATTTATACCTAAATATTTCACTCTGGGGGGTGCTAATCCACTAGTTCACTATTGGTGTACAGAAAAGCAATTGATTTTTTTGAGTTTTTGAGTTTTTTTGTTTTAAGATTTTATTTTTAAGCAATCTCTA